AGCATCAGAGCTTGCAAATGCTAAATCGGTCTCAAACACTGCCTAAAACCACCAAGATTTGTGGTCCGATTCCTGGCCCTTGGCATCCTTCTCTTAACGTGTCACCAGAGAATTTAATTATCTGTGTGGAAAGACAAGTGGGCTCTTTTAGGAGGTCTCCACATAAAGTAGTTAAAATACTCACCAGCTGAGCTCAACCAGCCTTTGGTTTTTGAGGATTGATCCATTTCCCTCTGTATTTGTACAAATCCGGTAGGTGTCTCCATACAGTTCTGTTACTTTACAGACTGAATTGTCTTATCTGTAAAACACCAAAGTAAACAAGCCTAAGGCTTTCGCTCCTTGAATTAAAGTGTGCCTGGGACATCCTGAAAATCTTACTGGAAGCATCTGGTGGTTTAAAGGAGCTAATTAAAGTCACCAGCACATACAGGATCAGCATTTTCACGGTTTAAAGGGTCAGAGAAGAAAGTACAGTCAGAATCACCAAACAAGCGATTAATGAGATTCCAAAAAACCGTCAGGGCTGGCGGAGGCGGGCCATGCACGGCGTGGGATGCTGCCCAGACCTGGCGATGGCCGCAGCCACGCCAACCTGCTGCCGGGAGGGGACCGGGCTGCCCTGGGCTCCCTTCTTAGAGCCAGAGGCTTAAAAACTCAGTCTGGCGTGGCAGAGCTGGACTACATGCCGGGAGGTGCTGGCTTTTGCCCTGAGCCCCCGGCACACGGAGGGCATCTGTGGGGTGCTGGTCCAGGGCTCACTCCCGCCCAGGGGCTGCCATCAGGCAGTGGTGGGGCACAGCGGGTCCCGGTCCATGGGGGGGCCGGGCCATCGCCCCAAATCCCCCCGAGAGCCCCCGTGCGGGGCAGTGTGGCATGTGTCGCTGTGTGTGCGCGCGCACGTGTGTGTGTGTGTGTCTGTGTCTGTGTCTGTGTGTGTGTGTGTGTGCACCGCACGGAAGAGGAGCAGATTAAGGCGTTAGGTCACATGGGAGCCACTGCTGGACGGACCCTACCTGGGATTTGGGTTCTTATAGTTAATAGGATCACTGGAGCTCAAGGCCGTCATCCCATCAAGATAAATGTCTCCAGTGCCCACTTTTAAGCAATCCGAATTCAATTAGGCTAATTGGAAAACAAGTAAAGAAGGATTGCATTAATATAGCCTTATAGCATGAACCTCCGCTCTCTCCCTCCCTCCGGAGGGACGGCTAAGCCCAAATGCTGGAGCCCTCACACCAGCCCCACGCCACTCACCACCCTCCACGGCCGTCCCGCTGCCGCAGCGGCCAGCACGGGGCCCACAGCCCTGCCAGGATGGGCACCGGCGGCAGCGCGCTCCGCAGGGCTCCAGCACCGTGCTGCTCAGCGCTCTCTGCGGGACCCTGCGCACCACAGAGCACCTTCTAAGTAGCGGAGAGAACACAACCAACCCTCCCAGGGGCACATAGAGGAAAACCTCCCCAGAAAAAAAGGAGATGACTGTCAAGTTATGAGGGATGCAGTGATGGGGTGAGGCAGCAGCTTCCCCATACCTTGTGCTTTCAAGAAGGTTCTTGCACTGCACACGTAGGAACTTCTGGGGAGAAAAAAAGCAAAGCCAGTTTTATTCAGTTTTTGACAATCTGTTGGAAAGTACAGAGTACGCAAACAGCAGCGCAGGGTGCAGATCACCGCTGCGTGAATATTTCCCCCTTTTCCTTGCTTCCCCCCCATCCTGCCCCGTGTAGATTTGCTGTCTGACCTTGAAAGTCCCGTTTATCTTTCAGGGAGGCGCTCCCTGCTGCACATCACTGGTTTGGAGAGCGATGTCCCACCTGCAGAGTGACTTCAGCTTCAAATGTCTGCTCTGCAAGGCAGTAATTATTTCAGCCTGACGTGAAAAAAAGACAGGAGGGAAGGAAGCAAGAGTCTGTGGCATTTTATGGTGCCGATTTCATTGTGTGAAGCCACATCCCGTACATACGTCTCAACAGCAGCAACAGGATCAAAACTATTCTGATTTAGCCTTCCCTATGCACGCACAGGACGGGGGGCGGGCGGGCAGACAGCTGCCCTTTGGAGGTTTCCATCTTGAGAGTTTTCGTTAGCTTCCAAACATAATTTCAGCAGTAATCGCTGTGCTAATACATTGCAAAAAACCTAAAAAGGGTGATGGAATGAGGGCTATCTTTTAGAAAGGCAAGCAACAAACCCCACCTATTTCATCCCCTAATGAAGATTGTCAGATTTGATCCCGATTGCCCCTGCAAATTTCCAAAGGTGAATGGTCTTTGCAAAGCTGTGATGTACCACAGTACCAATTTCTGAGGCTTCATACTGGTACGACATACGTCCCAGGGGACGCTAGGGCAGCAGGGGATTTAGCTAACAGCCAGTACATCAGACCCAAAGGGAGATGTTCAGACAGTTACCTTTCTTTGCCATCCTAAACTCTCTGTGTAAGTCCCTGATTACCAGAGGAACCGTTAGACTTCCCCCCTCCCCGGAGCGGTGTGATGCCTCGTGTGTGTCTCAGGGCACCACAGTCTGTGCCCATGGCGAGAGAGAGATCTGGAGTTGGAATAGTCAGAGCTGCTCTCCACTCTGCTATGGGCTGGGGTTTTTCATATTTTTTACAGATTGTGACCAGGGGTGCTGCTTCCTCTTTCCACAGCTCCACTCCCCTGCAAGAATGATACTACAGTGACAAATGCAGTTCCATATGGCAAATACCACTGTAATAATCTACTGGTGAGGAAAGAGGATCCTTCTCTGTTAGGGAGGAAGGTCTTCGGTGTACTGTGTGGGATGTGTACCCTGCTTTGGGGGGTGAGAAGGTTTTTTTTTTTTTTTTTTGCTGTACATTCGCATTGTGATTGGCAGCAAAAAAATTGCATCTTGTCCCTGTATTTGACAATTTCAACAGGTGCCCTAAAAGCAGCATCTGTGCCAGGACCCAGAGCCCACTTACTGCCAGAGCAGAGTCTGGCTCAAGGGTTTTTGCTCCGTCGTCTCACCTTGCTATCTTTTTTTTGCTACAACAAGCAAAAATGATTCCCAAGTTTGCCCAGGGCTTGTGGAGGGACAGGCATGTTTTGTGCTGGTTGTGAGTGGCACAAAACCCAGGCTCCAAATTAGAAGAAATTAGGGACATTGCACAGTTCATTCATCTTCACTAATGGAGTTCTTGGGAAATACACATGTAGATTAAAGGAACACAAAGGCCCCTGGCTGATTGCTTTGAGTACCCTCCAATGCCCCTACAATGGTTTTGACTTGCTTTTCATATTGTGCACAAAAGCCACACTAACCTTTTCTTGTCTCTTCTGTTGGCCTCTTCCCTCTTTGGCAATGGATGGCTGAGTTCTTTTGGCCCCAACCTCCCCCCCCAAGCAGGCAGAGCAGGCAAACCTCACCTGGAGTTAGTAGGAAAAGCTGGGCGCTTCTAAAAGGAATTAACTTTGGGACATCAGACCATAAACCTTAAAAAAGTGTGGGCACCAGCAGAGGCAAGCACTGCCCATCTTTGTTTTGAAGCGATTCCTCTGGAAAAAGCTACACAAAATGCATCCTGTTGGGGCAGGGGGCCAAGCAAAAATGATTTGTTGAGAGAGGTCATACCTTTTATTAGACTGGCTAGCGTGTCTGGAAGGAGCAGCAGCAGTGGTGTCCTTCATTCACATAGCCTCCCCTCAGGAGTGAAATGGAAGCATCTTCAAAGCTAAGTGCAGGATGGAAACTGCTCTGGATGTCGCTGTGTTTGTCACTCAAACCAGCTGGGACAAAAGACGGCTGGTGGCCCAGAGGAGCTGGCAAGTGCTAGCATAAAAAGTGATAAAGTGACAGAAAGAGAAAAGCAGGAAAACTATTGATGCAGGAAGGAGTGTGTTGGAGGCAGCAGACACGGCGCCATTGCCTGGCTAGTACTGTGCTGGGTCCATGTCCTCCCCCAAGCCAAGTACCAAGTAAGGTGTGGGGTTTGGCTCTTGCCTTACCTCCAAAAGCATTTGGTAGGTCTCCCACGAAGCCATGCCGTGCCCTCCCAGCCTCCCAGCCACACTCGCACTCACAGAATCAGCTCTTCTCACAGGGTCTGTCCTATACCACTATCTCGGAAAATTTCCTCAGAAATATTGCCTAGCGCTCTCCCCAGACTTGTGAAGGCTGAAAGCCCACCTCCTTCAGATGTCTCCCCCGGAGCCCACACACGTTCGCTTGGTCCGTACACCGGGCTTTGGAGGCGGCCAGGCGCGGGGCAAGTATCCCAACTGGGGACTAGAGCATCGGCTGTTACCCCCAGTGCTTTTTACCCATTTTACCAGAAAAGCAATCCTCCCGCGTGCCAGCTTTTGAGAGGCCGCCTATGAAAGTGATGCACGTAACAAATGCCGGGGAAGGATGCAGGCTGGAGCTGCCAAGCGGGAGAAATTCGGAGATGCTGCGACAGCCCACAGCACAGCGCAGGACACCCCCCGGGGCTCCGGGCCCCCCCGGGGCTCCCGTCCCTCCCCACCCTCCACCCGGACCCCCTTTCCCGCTC